AACGGAGATCGGGACGGGTGGGTCGTGCTTAGTCTTCGTTTTTTTTTTCTTTTCAATATAGGTATATAGTTTTTTGTGAACAACACAATAATTAAGCATGTTTTCAGTTTCATGTTGCGAAAAGAAGACTTCGTACATTAAGAAAAAATGTATAAAATATAAGCCCCGCCCACCCACCCCCTCTCAATTGTGACGATTTTTTTATTCATCGTGCGTCGAGGGCGGAGCTTAGTTGCAAAATCCTCGTTTCTCTACAAGAAATTCCCATGTGAAATAATGTCTTGAAAGAGTAAAATTTTGAAATTAAACTCCACCGCTCGGTCTGACAACGAATAAAAAAAGATCATTACAACTGAGACAGGGTGGGTGGGTGGGGCTTATATTTTGCCATTTTTTCTTAATGTACGTAGTCTTCTTTTCACAACAAGAAACTTAAGACATGTTCGAAATTTTTGTAGGGAAATTTGTATTTTGCAATTACGCTCCGCCCCTCGGTCTGACAACGAATAAAAAATTCATCACAATTGAGATCGGGACTTTTTTTTTAGTTACATATAGCTTTGTTTGAACAACACGGTAATTAAATAAGTTTTCAGTTTCTTGTTAGAAAAAAAATTCATATATTAAAAAAATGTACAAAATATAAGCCCCGCCCACCCACCACTTCTCAATTGTGATAATTTTTTTATTCATCGTGCGGAGGGCGGAGCTTAGCTGCAAAAACCTCATTTCTCGACAAGAAATTACCAGGTGAAATATGTTCATGAAAGAGTAAAATTTTACAAGGAAATATAGAATTAAATTAAACTCCGCCGCTGGGTCTACAACGAATACAAAAAATCATTACAACTGAGAAAGGGTGGGTGGGTGGGGCTTATATTTTGCCTTTTGTTCTTACTATACGCAATCTTTTTTTCACAACAAAAAACCTAAAACATGTTCGAAATTTTTGTAGGGAATGTATTTTGCAATTACGCTCCGCCCCTCGGTCTGACAATGAATAAAAAAAAAGCATTACAACTGAGATCGGGTGGGTGGGTGGAGTTTATATTTTGCCCTTTGTTCTTAATATACGTAGTGTTCTTTTCACAACAAAAAACCTAAAACATGTTCAAAATTTTTGTAGGGAATGTATTTTCCAATTACGCTCCGCCCCTCAGTCTGACAACGAATAAAAAATTCATCATCATTGAAATCGAGTTTTTTTTTTTTAGTTACTCATAGGTTTATTTGAACAACACGATAGTTACATAATAATGCTTTTAGTTTCTTGTTGGGAAAAGATTTCCTGTATTAAAAAAAAATTAAGAAAATTAAGTCAGCTCGTTTTGTTTCCAAATTGTGATCATTTTTTTGCAAAAGTTAATCATCGGTATTTGCTAAGATAAAACTGATTTTGGCAAATGACATATCCTACAAGAAAATATGGGGTGGGTGGGCGGGGCTAGTATCTGCCAGGACAAGATTGATTTTGGCAAATGAAACCACCCACCCTCTCTTTTCTTACACGGTATATCATTTGCCAAAGTCACTCTTTATCTTAGCAGGCACTAACCCCGCCCACCCACCCTCTCTTTTTTAGAGGTTATGTCATCTGCCAAAAACAGTCTTATCTTGGCAGCTACTAGATCGGATAAGACTAATTTTGGCAGATGACATAACTTCTAAAAAAGAGAGGGTGGGTGGGCGGGGCTAGTACCTGTTAAGATAAGACTGATTTTGGCAGATGACCTAACCTCTAAAAAAAAGAGGGTGGGTGGGCGGGGCTAGTACCTGTTAGGATAAGACTGATTTTGGCAAATGAAATGAGATCTTTCTAAGAAAATAGAGGGCGGATAGGCGAGGCTAGTACCTGCTAAAATGAGTTTTACCTTAGCAGCTACTAGGCCCGCCCACCCGCCCTCTCTTTTCTTAGAGAGTATGTCATTTGCCAAAATCACTTTTATCTAACAGCTATTAGCCCCACCCACCCTCTCTTTTCTTACACGGTATATCATTTGCCAAAGTCACTCTTTATCTTAGCAGGCACTAACCCTGCCCACCCACCCTCTCTTTTTTAGAGGTTATGTCATCTGCCAAAAACAGTCTTATCTTGGCAGCTACTAGATCGGATAAGACTAATTTTGGCAGATGACATAACTTCTAAAAAAAGAGAGGGTGGGTGGGCGGGGCTAGTACCTGTTAAGATAAGACTGATTTTAGCAAATGACGTATCTTCTAGAAAATGGAATTAAATTATTATAAGAAAAGACACTAGAGGCTCCAAAGCATTATTATTAATAAATAAACCAAAAAAAAATATATAAGAGATTTATAAATTATAAACAAAAACAACAAAAGAAAAATACATTAAAGCATAACCAACTAAACACTAGAGATATTTAAAATGCCTGCTTTAAAATTTAAAAATTTAAAAATTCATAAATTATAAAAAGAAAATTCGTTAAATCGAAAAATTGACAAATTACAAATCGAATCAAAAATTGAAAAATTTATAACTGAAAACTCGAAAAATTGGAAATCGAAAACTTGTGAAAATCTAAAAATGAAAGAAAAGAAAAACTGTAAAGTTCAAAAATTAGAATTGAAGAAACAAAAAATTGAAAAATCGAAAAATTAAAACTTGAGTAACTGAAAAATCGAAAAATTGAAGGGGCCAAGAATTTACAACACTAGAATCAAAAAATTAAAAGTCGGGAAACTGAAACACTGATGGAAAATTTAAAAATCAAAAGTTGAAAAATTGAAGAAATCGAAACAGGGAAAAACTGTAAAATCGCAAAATTGTGAGATTGAAAAATTGCAAATGGAAAACTTGAAGAAACAAAAATTTAACAATTGAAAAATACAAAAATTGAATAATTTGTTACTGAAAACTTTGTCAAAATCGAAAAATTTAAACAAAAAATTGTAAAATCGAAAAATTAAAAACTGAATATGTGCAAAATTCAAAAATTGAAAAAGCGAAAAATTTAACAAGCAAAAATGGAAAAATTAAAAGTCGAGAAACTGAAACATCGAAAAATTGAATAATCTTTGAGTTGAAAAATTGAAAAAATCGAAAAAGTGAAAAACTGTAATATCAAAAAATTGTAAGAATTGAAAAATTACAAATAAAAAATTACAAATGAAAAATTACAAATGAAAAATTACAAATGAAAAATTACAAATGAAAAATTAAAACAAAAATGTAATAATTGAAAAATTCGAAAATTGATTAATTTAAACTTGAAAACTCGAAAAATTGAAGATTGGAAACTTGTAAATGTCTAAAAATTAAAGAAACGAACAATTCGAACGTTCAAAAATTAGAATTGAAGAAACGAAAAATTGAAAAATCGAAAAATAAAACTTGAGTAACTGAAAAATCGAAAAATTTAAAAAGCTAAAATCGAAATATTAAAAGTCGAGAAACTGAAACACTGAAAAATTGAAAAATCAAAAGTTAAGGGCATATAAGTAAGCTCGTAATGTTTCCAAATTTTGATATTTTTTTGCAAAGTACTTGCTAAGATAAAAAGAGAAGGTGGGTGGGCGGGGCTAGTAACCAAGAACCGTACAATTTTGGTCTCTGACTTTTTTCGATCTCTAATAATTAATGAGATATCGAAGACGGCGCTCTTAGTGACTCACCCTGTACATCATCATGAATATACGAGCGTGGTGTAGTAAACTTTAATAATTGTTTAAATTTTTATATTTATTGAACATTAAGAAATTTCTTGATTATACTATGCATTTGCAGAGCAGCCCCCTAGTGGAATAAGAGAATAACAAAATTATGGCATTTTTTCCAAAATTTCTGAATAACTGGGGGCAGAAAAATGACAAAAATTGAGATTTAAAATTATGTCTCGTGTTCTAGTACTCCAAAAGACTACAAACTCAAAAATACGCACTCCAGATTAAATTCTGTATTTGTAAAATAATTAACACTTTAAACGCACCAAGAACAAATTATTACAAATAATGTAACAAAAATAATTGGAAAAGAAGCACGTTATTGACAATTTTAGTGCGGAAGCGCTGGCTCTTGTGTATGAACTGAGAAAAATTTCACCGACAATTTCCGGGGTTGGTGATTTGTTGAGATAACACCAACGACGCGACACCGATTTGACAATGTTAACGTTTTTATTCAATCATAAAAGCTATTATTAATTTGGGCTTCTATATTATTCAATATTTTCCTGAATACCCCCCTGTTTTACGACGAGGACGTTATTGCGGTTAAAGAAATTGGCGATGAGATGGCAATAAAAACGTCTCGAATTAACGAACTGGAACGAATTATTAATCTAATTTCCGGGCTACAATATAAACATTACAGATTAAACTAAATTGGATGGTTATGATCAATTTTGTGCATTTATTTAAATTTGGCTTGAGACATGGTTCGACAAAGTGAAAGAAAAAGATTTCGGGGCCGAGGATCCCTCTCGGCCCTAACTTTATCATGAAACGTTTCCACTGCTTTCCATTGATTTTTTATTTCATTAAATAAAGTCATAATAAATGATTAATCTTGTTTGAGTTAAAACTGTGAAAAATTAGATTATTTTAACAAGTTTGAGGTGAGGCTTTTTCTTGTAGTGGCCGGACACGGGTTTGGTAAATTCATGAGGGTGATTATTGATCAACATTCATTTTTTAGCGTCTTATAACGCTATAACCCCATTTAATAAAAAAAAAGTGGTGTCCCATTACCACCGGACTTTAAACCGACCTCCTAAACCTCTCCATCACCGGAATTACCCCGTAAATAAGCAAGCGTCTTGCCCTCTAAACCCGTCTCGACCCCCAAACCGTTCGCAATTTTCCACAATTACCCAATTCGTGAGTAGTTTTTCAGGTGATTAATTCCCAACTCGACCCCAATCCCTCGCTTTCCCTTTCAGACGCCCTCCTCCCATGAATGAACCCCTCGTGTCCACGCAAAGCCCCGCTCTCGCCTAACCTCAAACGTCACAAGGGGGCCCGAGCGAGCCTCCGCTCCGTACCTGAAAGCCGCCCAAGCGGACCGCAGGCGCCCAGCAGACGTCGCCCCCGAGCTTGTTTCCTCACGAACGCCGCCCCCAGCACTCTAGCATCTGCCTCCGGACTTAGGGCCGTCTCCCCGCATTCACCATCACTGCGATCGAGTTGGCACTGCACTAACGCGGCTGTCGCCGGACGGGCCCTTGGCGAAAATGGAGCTGATGCTGAAGCGGACCGCGGATTCGGGGGCTCTCACTGCATCGGGGCGTCACTGCACAGACACTGCTTGGCCGCGATAATCAATGATTAATGATCGACTGACACTTGCGGATGACAGGTGCAAAACGGGAATCTGCCTGACCGGCCGCCAGCGGCGCGCGAACGGGAAAATCGGGAAACGCGGGATGGCCACCAGCGGCGCACGCAGAGTGAGGTCAAAAGGCGCTGACTCCCGCGGGAAGCCGCCGGAAATTACCCCAAAGAGAGCTGGAGGAGGAGGAGGAGCTGCTAGGTGAATCCACCTTGGGTCGGCAGCAATGACAGAATTTCGGACGTTTTGGCATCTTACGACGCACTGACAGACGCCAGGGGGCGCTGCGCCGCAGAAATTTTTTTTTTGTTAATTTTTTATCGGGGACGAACGGGGGGCGCAAACGAGGCGGCGGGAATCGATACGGGGCTCTTACGCAAATTCTCAATTATTCAGCCGATACATCGCCGAACTTTTAAATGGGTTAACGCGGAACACGTGACATGGCAGCGGCGTAACTTGAGCTCCACAAAAGGGGCAATTAAATCGACCCAGTTCGAAATCATCCGGTTTGAATTTCGCGCGCTTAATAAAATACAATATTTATGACTTTTAAAATGGAATCAACAATTTTTTGTACTCAGCTAGAATTAATTAAATATCTTAGTTTTGTAAAACTGACTAACCAAGGACAAAATTTGGGTCTGAGTGATAAAAGCGACTGGACACTTGACTTCTTGTGTCCTTTCTTACGCACTACTCACCAGATGGCGCCGTGCCAAATTAATTGAATCGTTGAACTTTTTTGCAGCTACTCGTTACGACACGTTAATAGTTCTAAATTAGTAACGATTTCTGTTGCACAATTGGGGGCTTCCCTCCACAGTCAGTTGGCACTTGTCTGAATATAGCCACAGATGCACTTGGTAAAAGGAATAAACGTCCACTTGAGTCACTCGTTTCATTCACTCGGCATTGTTTAAAATTACACTTGAGTATCTAAAACTATGAAAAGAATGGTGTTGGGATTATGCGGTGTTCCAATTTTAGCGTCCCGTGTCATAATTTATAATCCGATCTGTTTGAAATGTTGCCAACCCAACACCGAATCTTTTGAAATCGAATTAAATGTTCGCGTGTTGATCCCGGTTTACATAATGTTTTTTTCGAAAAACAAGTCGGTTATAAATAAACCCGTCCAAACAAACTTTTTCTTTATAAAGAGGCGGCGCATCTTTGGAGTGAAGACATGATTAGCAGTTGTTGAAAATCAGTTAATCATATTATTTATTAATATTGTACAGTAAATTTACAAATAAAATGAAAACTGTATAGGTATATAACTTTTTTAATCTTTTTCAAAATTAATACTTATCCAATTCTAGTAAATAAGTGAAGTTGGTCACTTATTTAATAGACGCATTAACCTTAAGAACTAACAACTCATATATAGTGTATACACTTTTCATTTATTCATAGTCGGTCGAAGTCATGGAATAACACCGTTTCACGATGTGTTGTGCAAGTTCGGGGAGATGACAGGCCGGCCTTCGAGTTTACTGTAATCCAAGTGGAATTCTTTCGGGACTTTCCTCCAGTTCTGCGCGTCGAAGAAGTAGTAAGTTCCTCGTTCGTACGTGGAAGTCTTTTCGGCCAGCATCATTCCCGGGACCTGCGTTATCCAGACTTTCTCTTCCGTGTGGTAGCGCCACTCTCTACTGTACCTACAAATCCAGAAATTGCGGCGTTGGTGGATCTTCCACACTACAAAATACTCACAATTCACTAGCTGCGGCCAACTGTAACACGTCACCGACGTTATTATAAAACATGAAAAACAACAGGTCGTCCTTATACCGACTCAACTTCATGGATGCCAACTTATCCCTGCAAACGCTGTTGTTAGTAGACTGAATGAAAGCGCGCGTGAGTCACCTGATGGCGTGGTTGATGAGATATTCAGGAGGAACGTGGAAGTCTATGTCTTGGGGCCGACACGGATACTCCGCCCAGGGGCCTCCGAATGTTGGGTAAAGGTTGTCTGGAGAGTTGAGATTCAGTCCGAGCGCCGTCAAGTCCTGGCCTAACGCTAGCGACACCAGGTTGGGATCCGTTTCCGCCGCCCTTATGAACGTTAAGAGACCGACGATGCCGAACTGGTCGTTCACCATGCTGGCGGGGATGTTCGTCACTCGACCATCGGGGGATGTTTGGATTCCTGGAACGAAAACAACCAAAATTCACTTATTCATCCCTCCAAAAAATCGATGACGTCAAAAAAATTATGTTGGCAACACGATACATTCCTTGTTCGATAACTGTCATTTTAAAAATAAATTTCAATGTGGTAGTAATTTTGTGAATCTTTTTTCATTTTAGTCATTAAAAATCGACCGATAAAAATAAACAAATAAAAATAAATCTTACAAACGCTACACCCACAGATGTTATAGATTACGCTACATTTTTAGTCGCTTCAGACTACATTTCTGCATTTCATTATTCGGAACTTAAAAATACCGAGAACTTTCCATAATTTCATTTAATCCACAAAAAGCCTCATTAAAATGAGACACTTTAACGACTAATTAGTTCAAAGTGCGCGGCTTTTTTCAGAATCGGTCGCCTCAATTAGAACAGTACATTAATAACCACGCTAACTAGGTGATAATAAAACTAGTATTCAGGAAAAATATTGAATAATATAGAAGCCCAAATTAATAATAGCTTTTATGATTGAATAAAAACGTTAACATTGTCAAATCGGTGTCGCGTTGTTGGTGAAATTTTTCTCAGTCCATTCACAAGAGCCAGCGCTTCCGCACTAAAATTGTCAATAACGTGCTTCTTTTCCAATTATTATTGTTACATTATTTCTAACAATTTGTTCTTGGTGCGTTTAAAGTGTTAATTATTTTACAAATACAGAATTTTAATCTGGAGTGCGTATTTTTGAGTTTGTAGTCTTTTGGAGTACTGGAACACGAGACATAATTTTAAATCTCAATTTTTGTAATCTTTCGGACCCCAGTTATTCAGAAATTTTGGAAAAATCCCATAATTTTGTTATTCTCTTATTCCACTAGGGGGGCTGCTCTGTAAATACCATACTATCAGTAGTATAATCAAGAAATTTGTTAATGTTCAATAAATATGTACAAATTTAAACAATTATTAAAGTTTACTACTCTACGCTCGTATATTCATGATGATGTACAGGGTGAGTCACTAAGAGCGCCGTCTTCGATATCTCATTAATTATTAGAGATCGAAAAAATTGTACGGTTCTTGGTTTCTAGCCCCGCCCACCCACCCTCTCTTTTTATCTTAGCAAGTACTTTACAAAAAAATATCAAAATTTGGAAACATTACGAGCTTACTTATATACACTCAACTTTTGGTTTTTCAATTTTTCAGTGTTTCAGCTTCTCGACTTTTAATATTTCGGTTTTAGCTTTCTAAATTTTTCGATTTTTCAGTTACTCAAGTTTTATTTTTCGATTTTTCAATTTTTTGTTTCTTCAATTCTAATTTTTGAACGTTCGAATTGTTCGTTTCTTTAATTTTTACAAGTTTCCGAGTTTTCAATTTTAAATTAATCAGTTTACGAATTTTTCAATTATTAAATTTTTGTTTTAATTTTTCATTTGTAATTTTTCATCTTACAATTTTTTGATATTACAGTTTTTCACTTTTTCGATTTTTTCAATTTTTCAACTTAAAGATTATTCAATTTTTCGATGTTTCAGTTTATCGACTTTTAATTTTTCCATTTTTGCTTGTTAAATTTTTCGCTTTTCCGATTTTTTGTTTAAATTTTTCGATTTTGACAGTTTTCAATTACAAATTATTCAATTTTTGTATTTTTCAATCTTACAATTTTGCAATTTTACAGTTTTTCCCTTTTTCGATTTTTTCAATTTTTCTACTTTTGATTTTTAAATTTTCCATCAGTGTTTCAGTTTCTCGACTTTTAATTTTTTGCTTGCAGCGTTGTAAATTCTTGGCCCCTTCAATTTTTCGACTTTTCAGTTTCTCAAGTTTTAATTTCTCGATTTTTCAATTTTTTGTTTCTTCAATTCTAATTTTTGAACTGTACAGTTTTTCTTTTCTTTCATTTTTAGATTTTCACAAGTTTTCGATTTCCAATTTTTCGAGTTTTCAATTATAAATTTTTCAATTTTTGACTTTCCGTTATTCAATTTTTGTTTCGATTTGTCAATCTTCGAATTTTTCGATTTAACGAATTTTCTTTTTATAATCTATGAATTTTTAAATTTTTAAATTTTAAAGCAGGAATTTTGAACATCTCTAGTGTTTAGTTGGCTATGCTTTAATGGATTTTTCTTTTGTTGTTTTTCTTTATAATTTATAAATCTCTTATTTTTTTCTTTTTTTGGTTTATTTATTAATAATAATGCTTTGGAGCCTCTAGTGTCTTTTCTTATAATAATTTAATTCCATTTTCTAGAAGATACGTCATCTGCCAAAATCAGTCTTATCTTAGCAGCTACTAGCCCCGCCCACCCACCCTCTCTTTTTATCTTAGCAAGTACTTTACAAAAAAATATCAAAATTTGGAAACATTACGAGCTTACTTATATACAACTTTTGGTTTTTCAATTTTTCAGTGTTTCAGTTTCTCGACTTTTAATATTTCGGTTTTAGCTTTCTAAATTTTTCGATTTGTCAGTTACTCAAGTTTTATTTTTCGATTTTTCAATTTTTTGTTTCTTCAATTCTAATTTTTGAACGTTCGAATTGTTCGTTTCTTTAATTTTTACAAGTTTCCGAGTTTTCAATTTTAAATTAATCAGTTTACGAATTTTTCAATTATTAAATTTTTGTTTTAATTTTTCATTTGTAATTTTTCATCTTACAATTTTTTGATATTACAGTTTTTCACTTTTTCGATTTTTTCAATTTTTCAACTTAAAGATTATTCAATTTTTCGATGTTTCAGTTTCTCGACTTTTAATTTTTCCATTTTTGCTTGTTAAATTTTTCGCTTTTCCGATTTTTTGTTTAAATTTTTCGATTTTGACAGTTTTCAATAACAAATTATTCAATTTTTGTATTTTTCAATCTTACAATTTTGCAATTTTACAGTTTTTCCCTTTTTCGATTTTTTCAATTTTTCGACTTTTGATTTTTAAATTTTCCATCAGTGTTTCAGTTTCTCGACTTTTAATTTTTTGCTTGCAGCGTTGTAAATTCTTGGCCCCTTCAATTTTTCGACTTTTCAGTTTCTCAACTTTTAATTTCTCGATTTTTCAATTTTTTGTTTCTTCAATTCTAATTTTTGAACTGTACAGTTTTTCTTTTCTTTCATTTTTAGATTTTCACAAGTTTTCGATTTCCAATTTTTCGAGTTTTCAATTATAAATTTTTCAATTTTTGACTTTCCGTTATTCAATTTTTGTTTCGATTTGTCAATCTTCGAATTTTTCGATTTAACGAATTTTCTTTTTATAATCTATGAATTTTTAAATTTTTAAATTTTAAAGCAGAAATTTTGAACATCTCTAGTGTTTAGTTGGCTATGCTTTAATGGATTTTTCTTTTGTTGTTTTTCTTTATAATTTATAAATCTCTTATTTTTTTCTTTTTTTGGTTTATTTATTAATAATAATGCTTTGGAGCCTCTAGTGTCTTTTCTTATAATAATTTAATTCCATTTTCTAGAAGATACGTCATCTGCCAAAATCAGTCTTATCTTAGCAGCTACTAGCCCCGCCCACCCACCCTCTCTTTTTATCTTAGCAAGTACTTTACAAAAAAATATCAAAATTTGGAAACATTACGAGCTTACTTATATACAACTTTTGGTTTTTCAATTTTTCAGTGTTTCAGTTTCTCGACTTTTAATATTTCGGTTTTAGCTTTCTAAATTTTTCGATTTGTCAGTTACTCAAGTTTTATTTTTCGATTTTTCAATTTTTTGTTTCTTCAATTCTAATTTTTGAACGTTCGAATTGTTCGTTTCTTTAATTTTTACAAGTTTCCGAGTTTTCAATTTTAAATTAATCAGTTTACGAATTTTTCAATTATTAAATTTTTGTTTTAATTTTTCATTTGTAATTTTTCATCTTACAATTTTTTGATATTACAGTTTTTCACTTTTTCGATTTTTTCAATTTTTCAACTTAAAGATTATTCAATTTTTCGATGTTTCAGTTTCTCGACTTTTAATTTTTCCATTTTTGCTTGTTAAATTTTTCGCTTTTCCGATTTTTTGTTTAAATTTTTCGATTTTGACAGTTTTCAATAACAAATTATTCAATTTTTGTATTTTTCAATCTTACAATTTTGCAATTTTACAGTTTTTCCCTTTTTCGATTTTTTCAATTTTTCGACTTTTGATTTTTAAATTTTCCATCAGTGTTTCAGTTTCTCGACTTTTAATTTTTTGCTTGCAGCGTTGTAAATTCTTGGCCCCTTCAATTTTTCGACTTTTCAGTTTCTCAACTTTTAATTTCTCGATTTTTCAATTTTTTGTTTCTTCAATTCTAATTTTTGAACTGTACAGTTTTTCTTTTCTTTCATTTTTAGATTTTCACAAGTTTTCGATTTCCAATTTTTCGAGTTTTCAATTATAAATTTTTCAATTTTTGACTTTCCGTTATTCAATTTTTGTTTCGATTTGTCAATCTTCGAATTTTTCGATTTAACGAATTTTCTTTTTATAATCTATGAATTTTTAAATTTTTAAATTTTAAAGCAGAAATTTTGAACATCTCTAGTGTTTAGTTGGCTATGCTTTAATGGATTTTTCTTTTGTTGTTTTTCTTTATAATTTATAAATCTCTTATTTTTTTCTTTTTTTGGTTTATTTATTAATAATAATGCTTTGGAGCCTCTAGTGTCTTTTCTTATAATAATTTAATTCCATTTTCTAGAAGATACGTCATCTGCCAAAATCAGTCTTATCTTAGCAGCTACTAGCCCCGCCCACCCACCCTCTCTTTTTATCTTAGCAAGTACTTTACAAAAAAATATCAAAATTTGGAAACATTACGAGCTTACTTATATACACTCAACTTTTGGTTTTTCAATTTTTCAGTGTTTCAGTTTCTCGACTTTTAATATTTCGGTTTTAGCTTACTAAATTTTTCGATTTTTCAGTTACTCAAGTTTTATTTTTCGATTTTTCAATTTTTTGTTTCTTCAATTCTAATTTTTGAACGTTCGAATTGTTCGTTTCTTTAATTTTTACAA